AGATGAGCTGTCTTTAGGGGAAGGTGGCAGGGCCCTTGGGCAGGGCAGGGCCAGGACCTGGGTATATAAATAGCCCCTGCCCAGCTGGGAAGGCCTGGCAAAGCCCTCCCCCCTCCCCCTCAGCAGCTGCCAGTGCCAGGCGGGCCCCTGTCCACCTTGGGAGCCTAGCCATCATCTCAGGTCCTAAGTGTAGGAACTTCCTCAGCGGAACAGGAGTCTTGTTCTGTGAGTAGGCGGAACCTCCGGATGCCTTGAGGCCTGGGGGGTAGGCTGGATGAGGGGCTGCAAGACAGCAGGGAGCAGACTGGGCTTCCAGGGAAGGACTTGTTCCGTCATTCTTTTTAAAAGATATTTATTTAAAGAGAGGGGAAGGGAGGAAGAAAGAGAGGGAGAGAAACGTCAACGTGAGAGAGAAACATCCATCAGTTGCCTCTTGTACTTGCCCCGACCAGGGACTGAACCCACAACCCAGGCACATGCCCCTGACTGAGACTCAAACTTGGGGGGGGGGCTTCCTCTTCACGGGATGACACCCAACCACCTGAGCCACAATGGCCAGGATTGTCCCTTCGTTCTTTCCCTTGAAAACCAGCATGCCTCTGTCATGTGCCTGGCCTATTGGTAAACCAAATGTGCTCATGTTTCTCTGTGTGTTTGTGTGTGTGCATGTGTGTGGGGGGTGTGTGTCATGGAGGAGGTGTTGAGGGCAATTGGAAGGAGACACAACTCTAGCCTCAGGAAGCTGAACTTGCACGGCCAGATGGAACTAGAAACAAGTCAGTTCAGCACTTTGAGACAAGAAGGTTTGAATAAGGCAGAGGCAAAATCCAGAGGCAGGAGAGGTTGCTTTTGTGTGGAGCTCACAGAAGACTTTGGAATGGAGGCAACCCAGGAATCGGAGGTTGAAGGGTGGGTAGGGTGCTTACGGGGATTCGGGCAGCGGAGAGGCATTCCAGGAGGGGGGCTCAGCACGTGCGAGGGGTGCAGAGGTAGGAAGGAGCCCGGCTGCAAGCCACTCAGCAGCCTGAACAAATCTCGTGAAAGCTACTCTTTACGAAGAACTGAGCAGAGTGAGGTTTGCTGTGTGACCTCCCCCAGGGGACTGAGCACCTCAGTGATGGGGCCGAGGGGCTGCCAGTTGCATTCACGTGACTCTGGGGCGGTAGAGTTTCGGGCGTGAGCAGCGTGTGGGTGGTTGGCTCATGGTCAGGGGTGGCAGGGCACATTTGCGGGAGGGCAGCTGTCCTGCAGATATCAATCCCGTGGCCACAGCTACATTAGCCCCAGCACCAGCCCGGGGAGCTAAACCTGCATCCGCAGAGGCCCTTGCTAATTACCGGCAGGATGTCCAGATCTGAGCTAAAACCCTCGAATGGAGCATCAAGGAAACGCCTTTGTGACCTTGCCTTTGCCCTTTGGGTCACCTTTAACAGTCAGCCAGATTGTGTGTCTATTTTGTCACCCCAATTAGGACTGAAGTGCTGGGCAGGGGACAGCTTTGCTCTGTTCCAAGGCATCCTTCCCAGTGATGGGTCGGAATTGGCTCTTAAAATGTGATGTGTTCTATTAAGTCAGGGATGGAAGGCCGAGGGGAATGAGGGTGATGACAGGCAGGGGACAAAGTGCTGGGGATGGTCCTAAACACATGGTCACTACAAGGAACCCCACTTACTGAGTGCTTACTGTGTGCCAAGTGGTTTATATTATTTGTACTTCCCTTTATGTCTATTTTACAAATGAAGAAACTGAGGCACAGAAAGGTTAAGCAAATTGCTAGAGATCAACAGCTAGGAAGTGGCAGAGCTGGATTCGAACCAAGGCAGCCTGTCTCCCGGCCACACAATTGGTTGGATCTGGGGAGCCTGAAGGGGACGGAGTCTGGGGAGAGAAGGGAAATGAAGTCCTCGTCTCCGAGGCTGGGCATCGTCATCAGAGGACATCGCACTGGGAGTCGGACAAACCCAGGGTCAGAATTCTGATAACTTCCTCCTATACATTCCCCAACTTCTCTGTGCCTTAGTTTCCTCATCTGTACAGTGTGATGATAGCACCCCCTCACAGAACTACCACGAGAATTAAATGAGATAATATGTGTGAAGTGCCCAGCATGTAAGTGCTAGGTAAATGGTTGCTGTCAGTATTGCCAGGGTTGAATGTGACTGCAGAGAAAATCCACTTTGGTTGTAGGGAGGACTCAGCCAGCAGGGGCTTGTGACTCTCAGGGGAGGGGAGGGGACCATGGCATCTCCCCGCTGGGAGATGTTTTGGGAGTAACTCGAGCCTTTTCGGCTAACCAAGCCATACCAGCCAGTGCCCAGTTCTCGGGCTTCTGCTGGGCTGGGCTGGCTGCCTGGGACTCTGTGGGAGGGAGCTGGTGAAATTAGGAAGCAGGGAGCCCCTTGGAGGGTTGGGATGAGGAGCAGTCTCACCAAGAGGAAATGAAGCGCCAGCAGGGGCACCCCTCGGTGCTCCTTCCCCCAGCTCCACGCAGTGGTAGCCAGCCAGGGAGGCTCTGGACAGCTGGTGGTATGGCCTTGGGCAAGTCACTTTTCTCTGGGGGGTCTCTGCTTTGCACTCTCTTAGGGCTCTTCCCACAGGTTCTGATTCTGACCCAGGGCTCAGCCTCCCACTTAGCCTGAGGGTATCCAGGCCTGCAGGGGTGACAAGAGGTGCAGGGAAAAGGCTGGGGGGAGAAGGAGGAAGAAAAGTAATGGGGAGGGGGGAGGCAAGGAAGGATCCCTGAGTGCCCCTCGGGCCCCACGTTCGTCTCTCTGGTCAAAGGGAGGCTGGAGCTTGGAGAACTCGGCTTGGCTGGTGAGCAGACCAGTGAATGGGGAGTGACGTGGGGCAAGCACACCTGGTGCCAGAGGTGATCCTGGGACAGGCCTGCCCAGGTCAGAGTGTGCAGAGGAGAAGGGAGGGCCAGGCTAGTGGAGAGTGTGGGCACTGCAGCGCAGGGCCGGTCCACCCCTCCAGACACAGGCAGGGACCAAGGCACTTGTGGTGGGGAGACTGGGCAGTACTCTGAGCCAAGAGGAGGGGCAATGAGGCCGGGAAGTGGGTGCCAGGTCTCCCCATGCTGCTCTGGGATAGTTAGGGCCCAGGCCAGGGTGTGGGGAGGGGGCAGGCAATCGCCGCCATACTCCTCAGAGTCCCTCGTGGCTGTACACTCATGACCAAACACCGCTGTGGCCAGTGTCCTCTGTGCTGCCTCAGCTCCCCTCTCGTTATCCCCATATAGGGCTTTGGACCCTAAATGTCAGAGGAGGGAGCTGGAAAGGCCTGGGCTTCTTCCCAGAGGTGGGGGCCTTGCTCCTGAGCCCCCCTCCCAGGATGGCACTGGGCTGAGCCATCTGCACTGGACCCTGGCTGTGTCCCTCCTCGGTGGCTGCAGGGCTGCTGGGACAGGGCTGCACCTGCTGGTTAAGAGCACATGGAGAGGCAGACTGAGTGGGGAGGGAGGCTCAGCTCTGAGTTTGCAGTCCTGCAGACGGGCAGGTTACTTAGCTCCCTGGCCTCAGTGTCCTCATCTATAAAACGGGATGATGCCAGTGACAGTGAAGTTCCTGTCTCACAGACTTGCTGTGAGGATTACAGGGAGCGAGCAGTCAGCACCAGCCTGGCACATAAGAAGCAACAGGGATTTGACTATCAAGATGAGCACGCTAACTAACCTGTTTGTAACTGTAAACAGGGCAGGGCAGGAGAGGGCAGCCTGCCGCACCCTGTCAAGGGCTGTGTGCCCTGTGCCCAGCAGGGCCTCTGGGCCGACCCACTCCATCCCACCTAGGCATGGGTGGGCTCGGTGTTGAGGCCTGGGGCGTGGACAGGCCAGGCTTGCGGGCACGCCCACTCCCAGCACCCAGGCCCAGAGGACGGGCGGCACACTGGTTTGCTCCCCACCCCCCCCAGGAGTGCTAGTCCGAAGGCACGGGGTCCCATGAGCAACTCCTTGGCAGTTCTGTGGTCTGGGCTGGTTTCTCGACCGGCAAGGCTAAGCCGTCTGAACACATCCTATGTCACAGGGCAGTTAGAAGGGTTAGGTCAGGCAAAGCCAAGGAAAAGATTCGGCCCGGTGCCCAGCACAGAGGAGTTCAGGAATAGCCATTCTCAGTGGTAGGCCAGGCCTGCAGGTGGCCCTCCCTGCTCTTTAAAAGGGCTTGATGCTCAAGATCTGGAAATGTTTCGTAAGTGTTACCATCCACACTCTCAGAGCTGGTTTCCCAATCCCTGCCTCCGGAATGAATTAACAAATAAAAATATGGGGTGCCCACCTCATCCCTCTGGCAACCGAGCCCAGAGCCAGCCCCAGGCCGGTGGGTACCATGCCCCTTGCTGGTACCCATCAGGAGTATGTGGTGAGAGCTCTTGAATGGCAGGCGTCTGGTTCATCCCTGTGTCTAGTCCAGAAAGCATCTGTGTGGTGTGTCTGACCTGCCCGGGGGTCTCTGGACCCTCTTCCCAAGGCATCTGCGGATTTGGAAAGGGGAACCCAACCACTGTGTGCAAGCTCCCTGTGGGGCCTGTGACTTCTCTGCTTCTTCTGATGTGGGGCCGTGGGCCCTAAAAACACCTTCCCATGGGTCACTGAGGTCTCACTTGGTCCCCCAAACCTGGACTCCCTGGGAGGTTGCCCAGACCAAACCCTTCAGTGCCCATCAGGGAAACTGGCCCCGAGCGTGGGAGGGACTTGACCTGGGCACCCAGTACCATCTGCCCAGTCCTGGCTTCCTTTCAAGGTGTTCCCCAAGGGCGCCCAACTTATGCTGGTTCCCACACCCTTGCAAGCTGGATGTGTCCATGTCACAGGGCTGACTTTGCCTGGATCAGAGCCCTGCCCTTCGAGGGCAGCACCAGGGGCCAGGTTTCTCAGGGCGTGGGTGCAGACTCGGGCCCTCTGTGGCTGCACCCACCCAGGAGGGCCAGTGAGGAAGAAATGGTGCCCTCGACGGGCTATGTGCTTTGGGCTTGCCGTGCCACTACCTTTTGTGTGCCCGCAGGTCCCTGGCCCTGGGCCAGCAGTACACGTCCCTGGGCTCTCAGCCTCTGCTCTGCGGCTCCATCCCAGGCCTGGTCCCCAAGCAACTGCGCTTCTGCCGCAATTACATCGAAATTATGCCCAGTGTGGCCGAGGGTGTGAAGCTGGGCATCCAGGAGTGCCAGCACCAGTTCCGGGGCCGCCGCTGGAACTGCACCACCATAGACGACAGCCTGGCCATCTTCGGGCCCGTCCTTGATAAAGGTACTGCCTCTGGGCCCTGAGGGAGGTGGGTGGGGGGCGGGGGGACTATTGAGATGAAGTGACTGTTCTCAGAACACCTCAGCTCTGAGCCCAGGGCCCTCAGGGGAGGGTAATAAAGCTGGTCATGACCTAGGGCCTCCACAGAAGTAGGTCAGGTCCTTCTCTGGACCCACCCAGGCTGTCATCATGGCTGCCACGCCTTCCCAGGTGCTGCTGGGGCTGGGCATCCTTAAGATGCTGGAGGGTGCCAGGACCCAGGGCAGCCTAGGGGGCTGCAGGCTTCCTCCCTGCTCAGCTGGCGCAGCGGTGGCCCCAGGCTTTGATGTGCACATTTGTGACATTTCCCCAATGCTATGTTAAGTGTTATGCAAATGTAGTTTTGGTGTGGTGTGGGGGCATTGTCACCCCTATATCCCTCCTATATAGAAAATCCTGGAGCTGAGAAAGCTGCTTGGTGCTGGTGGCACTACACTGCTCCCAGTGCTTCCGTGAGAACCTTCAGCGGTGCCCATGCCCAAGCATGTGGTGGGGACTAGAGGGAGTGCTGGCGGGGTGGGGGGTAAGTTCCCAGCCATCTCAAAACCTGGGAGCCTAACCTGCTGCACTTCAAATGAAGGGGGTCACACAGCTGGACTTCAAACATGAAGGCACCTGGTGAGAGGGATGAGGGGTCAACTGCTTCCTAGAGGGGGACTTAGGGGCTGGTGAGTCCTGGGCTGCACTGGGCAACTCTCTGAGCAGCTATGGTGTCCAGGAGTTTAGGGGTCCCAGCAGGCCCCCCGGGACCCACGGCTCCTTTCCCACAGCAACTTGAACCTTCCCTCCACCGACACGGCTTTGCCACTCAAACCCGCGGGCCCGCCCTCCCTCCTGTTAGAAGAGCCGCATTTACCGGCGGAAAGAAAAGATGTGGAAGCCAGGGGGGTCCTGGGGGTGGGGATTGGCAGGGAACGCGCCGGGGGAAGTTGACTCCCCATTCCCCCTTAGAGTGCAGCCCCCCTAACCTGCGCCTCAGGTTCACAGAGCAAGTCCGACCTACAGGCTATTGTCGTGGGACCGAAGGGCAATTAGCGAATCAATGGATGATGATTCTGTTTACGCTTCTGTTACCAAAGCTAATTATTCCTTGTTTACATAAAAGGTTTGGCCTCTAATTGGGGCCAAGTGGCGGCGGTTTGCATTTCAAACCCGATCTTGCTGGCGTGTCGGTCTCACCGCCTTCCGGCGCCCCACCTCGGGCCAGGTAGCGCTGAATCAAACGGCCTGGCGTCTAGACGCGCTCCCTAAAAGCCAGACTCGCCTTCGGACTGCCCTTTCCCACCCGCGACAATGGCCAGTGGAAATCGGGTCTTTGAGCTTACCACCCACTCACGTTTGCGTTTCACGGTTTAAATCAATCATTGTAAGACCTAGATTCTAGGACATGGCTTCATCGCTAAATTGCAAGCGGGCAGTTGTGTGCTGGGGGGCGGGGGGTGGAAGCCAGAGACCCGGAGTTTGGTGAAAGCTCAGTCCCCGGGAAGAGGGTCCCCGCACGCGCCCGCGCCCGGGTGGGCCGCCGGGGGTTAATCTCGGCCGCCGCTTCCAGGCCAGGGCGGCGGGGAGTCGGTCGGCCCGGGGGCGCGCACCTTCCGCGGAGGCCGGGGACCGACGCCCCGGCGCGGGGCTGTCCCAGGGTGGGGACCTGGGGCGGGGCGCGGGGGGCGCGGGCCGGAAGGCTGGGGGCGCGGCGGCGGGGCCGAAGGCGGGAGCCCGGGGGGGCGGGGGTTCAGGCCGCTTGAAAAGGGCCGGAGCGTCGCCCCCCGCCGCGCGGCCCGGCCCCGCGCCCGCTGCGGCCGCCGCGCCATTCACACGCCCTCTGGCCGTTCGGCGCGGCGCGCGGGCGGGGGGCGCCGCTTCAATGGGGATTTCGCGGGCCGGCGCCGGGGCCGGGGGCGCGGCCCGGCCGCGGGAGCCGCCCGTTGCTACGCGGTGGCGGCCGGCCCGGCGGCCCGGGCCCGGCGGCCGCATTATGCGGGTAATGCGGTGTGACACCGCGCGAACAAAGGCGGATTGAGTGGCCCAGCGGGCCCCGCCGGACGGGGACCGGCACAGCGGGGCTGTCAGCGCCGCTCCCAGGCTAATCCCCGCCCCGCCCCCGCCGCCCCCGCGTCCCCGGGGCTGGGAACCGAGCGCGGCCCGGGGTCTGGGCGCCGCCGCCGCCGCCGCCGCGAGAAGCCGCGAGCCCGGCCGGAAGCGAGGCCCTGGCCCTTGGCGCCCCTCGCCCCCGGGCGCCGGCCGGTGGGAGGGGGCTGGACCTGGGGCGGCGGGGGGACCGGGTTGGGGGGGAAGCAGGGCGCAGCGCCACAGGCCTCGGCCGCCGCCGGTCCGCAGTCCGCCCTTGCGGCGCGGGCGCCACCGCGCTCCCCCCACCTGCTCCGGCGGGCGGACCGGCCCTTCCTCTGCAGGCGGCCGACGAGGGCGCTGGGGCCTCTAAAGAGGCAGCAGTGGCTACCGGGGAATGCTAGGCTCCCTTGTCTGCCGACCTACGGTCTCCCGCAGCACTAAGCGCGGGACACCCGGCTTCCAGGCCAGCCCCGAGTCTTGCAACCTGCTCGGCCTCGGACAGGTCCCGACCCAGTTCTGGGTCTTTCTCCAGCAAGGAGAGATTGTTGCGTTGCCTGACTTTCAGGCCTTTGCCTCTCTAATCGTTAGTCCGCTTTTGTAGAATGGGTCCATATGACTTCCCGCCTCACGGGGTTAAAAGGATTAACTAGGATTTAGCACCTGGAGGGCAGAATCTGGTGCCTAACAGCACCCAAAGGCGGTCATTACAGTGAAGTTGGGGGGGACATCCCTGAGAATCTTTTCTTTTTCTTCACTGGACCCTGGGGGCAGAACTAGGAGAACTGCCCTTATGTCCCCCTCCTTCCAGGAGGGACACGGCCTTCTCAGCCCCAAACCTTGGCGTTGTCTGGGAGGAGAAAGGGAAGGGAGAGGAGACTGAGGCGCCAGCCCTGGTCAGGAGCTCTGGTAGCAGAAAGCAGTCGTTCCCACTCTGTGCAGAGGGTCTCAGAGGGTCAGAAAGGGAAAGGGCCTGCCCTGGCGCATGCAAGTGGGGACGGGTGGACTTGGGTGGGTTTAAGCTGTGGGTTCCCAGGCCTTCCCCCACCTCAGATGGCAGGCTGTCAGGACTTCGAGGGCTCAGGCCCGCGCTGGAGTCTCTGGAGTTTTTGGAAAGGGGGAGGGCAGCAGGGCCTGGGGCTAGGACAGAGAGCAGGCCCCTAATCTCTTCAGCAACCTGCCAGGGCTACCATTTTTACCCCTGTTTTTAAGCACTCTGGTCTGCCAGCTGTTTAATCAGTTAGTGGCCCTGGCCTCAGTTTGCTCATCCAGTAAAGTGGGGACAGCTACCAGGTTCCTTCCTCTTCCCTCCTGGCTGGCGAGCTCTCCTTCCCGTCTGGGGAGGTGAAGGCTGCTCAGCCACGTCCCAGGACCGGGCCTGAGCAATGCTTCCCAACTCCCTCCATGCAGCCACCCGCGAGTCGGCCTTTGTGCACGCCATCGCCTCTGCCGGCGTGGCCTTCGCAGTCACCCGCTCCTGCGCGGAGGGCACCTCCACGATCTGCGGCTGCGACTCCCATCATAAGGGACCGCCCGGCGAGGGCTGGAAGTGGGGCGGCTGCAGCGAGGACGCCGACTTCGGGGTGCTAGTGTCCCGAGAGTTCGCGGATGCGCGTGAAAACAGGCCAGACGCACGCTCAGCCATGAACAAGCACAACAACGAGGCAGGCCGCACGGTGAGCCGCAGCTGCCCTTTCTGGGACCGCTCCTGACCCTGTCTGTGCCCCTACTGCCTCAACCCCTTCCAGGGCCTTGTGTGTTCAGGGCTCCCTGCTCTGCCTCTTTCCCCTTGGCCAAGCTTGGCCCCGCCAACATCCCACAGTCACCCCTTCTGCTCACCCTCCTTTATCCTTGGACTGTTCTGGGTCTCCACCCTCCAGGGGATGCCTCAGTGGGCAGCGTGGGGGCCCCATACAGCAGGTACCGGCAGCCCATCCTGTGTGTTCATGCTGCCCGTGTGGGCCCATGGGCCTGGCTTTGACCTCATTTCCACCCCTTCCTACGGCCGTTTCACTTAGCATGAGACACTGAAGTTCCCAGCCTCAGTTTCCCCATCTGTTAAGTGTGGATAACAATCCCTATTATGGCTTTGAGAACTGGATGTGATTTCTGCTGATAATGGGGGTGTGAAGGGGAGGGAAACAGCAGTCAAGATTCTACGGTTGTGCCTCTGCCCTCAGTCAGTTCTCATCCTAGCACTGGGTGGGAACGGAGAAGGCTGCAGAGGCCAGGCTGGGCCAGGCAGAGCAGGAGGGTCTAGGTGTGCTCCCAGGTGGGATCTGTCTGGGGGCCAGCTGCTGTTCCTCTTTCCCAGACCATCCTGGACCACATGCACCTCAAGTGCAAATGCCATGGGCTGTCAGGCAGCTGCGAGGTGAAGACCTGCTGGTGGGCCCAGCCTGACTTCCGCGCCATCGGTGACTTCCTCAAGGACAAGTACGACAGCGCCTCGGAGATGGTGGTGGAGAAGCACCGAGAGTCCCGCGGCTGGGTGGAGACGCTCCGGGCCAAGTACGCGCTCTTCAAGCCGCCCACAGAGAGGGACCTGGTTTACTACGAGAACTCCCCTAACTTTTGCGAGCCCAACCCCGAGACGGGCTCCTTCGGTACCAGGGACCGGACTTGCAATGTCACCTCCCATGGCATCGATGGTTGCGACTTGCTGTGCTGCGGCCGCGGACACAACACAAGGACGGAGAAGCGGAAGGAGAAGTGCCACTGCATCTTCCACTGGTGCTGCTACGTGAGCTGCCAGGAGTGCGTCCGCATCTACGATGTGCACACCTGCAAGTAGGGAGCCAGGTAGGGCGGCAGGGTGGGGAGGCCGGGGGGCCCGGGTTTGCCTGTCTTCTCTTCCTGATGACTGTTCTAGTTCTCAGCTACCTGGGACACAAGTTTCCGAGAGGCTGCAAACAATTGACTAAAATTCTTACCCATGGCGGTCAGTTACGAGCCAGGTCAGATTTTTGCATGGCCACTGGCTCTCATTATCGAGCATCTGTGGGTACAGAGGAGGGACACTGTGGGGTTGGGAGCGGGGAGACCTGACCTCAGGTGCCAGCTTTGCCTCTAACTTCCTGTTTCTTCACTTCTCTGGGTCTGTTTTCTTACTGTAAAAGAAGAAGGTTAAACTACTTGAAACAGTAGGCCGAAAAGTCTCTTCTGCAAACCCTGGGGCAGAGTCATTTTGCACCCACCGTGAACTTAGAGGGCAAGTTTTCGCACAAGCATAAATCCTACCAACCTCAAGGAGGTGGGTGGGGGAAAGCTGTGGATAAGCCCATATCCCGACAGATCTGAAGCTTGGGTGGAGTGGGGTGCACTCTCACTGAGTTTATGGATGGCGATGGGGAGGAGGAAGGAGCCAAGTTCAGAGTGATGGTGGTGAGTAATCGAGGGATCAAAGGCGGGTGGATTATGTTGCCAAGCTTCCCAGAGGTGGCCTAGCGTGGGAGACAGTGTGCCTGGCTCTCAGATCCATAGGTCCCCAGGGTAGGCCAAGATTAATGAAGGGTGGTCCTGGAGTCTTGGAGGTGGAAGGTTTTGAGACCTGTGGGCCCTTTCTCCCCCTTCTCTGCCTTGAGAAGGAGCCTAATATACAGAGGCGTGAACCCTGGTCCAGCACCCAGCACTTGCCAGCTGTGGGACCCACACAAGGTAGTCTTTGCACACCTGTCTCCTCTTCCGTCACCCTCCCCAGAGGTGCTGTGAGGAACAAAGACCACTGGGAATGGTGGCTGGTTCCTGGCAAAGTGCTTGCCTGCCTTGGTCGTTGTTGGCTGGGGTTGGGGCAGGGAGAGCACCCCACTGTCTCATGTGGTTCCACACAGGGCGCCTGGGAGCTGGGGTGCATGCTTGTGCTGGGGGAGGAGCCTGGCATGGTGGGGAGAGCGCTGGTTGAGGGGTGGCTCACCCAGTCCATCTGGGAAGCCCCTCGGTGCAGCTCAAGTCAGGCACAGTCTAGAAAGGTGGTTCCCGCCCCACGGCTTACCAGCGGTGGGGCCTTGCAGCCCAGTTCCTCATCCGCACAGAGGGGCAATTGTGGGGGCCCCGCAGCAGGTCTGTGAGGCTCAAGGGGACCAAGAGCTGTGCCTGCTCGTCTGACTACAGTACTAACAGAAAGTGTGACAAACGCTGTCAGGGAGCTGTGACGTGACGGTGGTCAACATGCAGTGGAGTTGTCATCACTTGGGCAGGTTTGTTGAGAAGGACAGGAGAGCCAGCCAATGAGAGACAACCTGCAGGCACACTGTGGCCTGTCAGCGGGGAAGGAATGTTTGAAAGCATAGTGGCCACGCTCCTCTGATGCGCACTGTGGCCAGAGGCAAGTGTCCCCACTACCTATTAGGACAGCTCTGGCCACTGAGAGGGGACTGTGGAAGGATGAGCCTACTCATTGCACAGGCAGGGACAATGAGCCCAGGACTCTACCTCCAGAAAAAGCCCCACATGGGGTCCTGCAGAGGTCATAGCAGTATCCCCAGGCCCCGCCGGGGGTTCTAGGGTGCCATGGATTCAGGCCCTTGGAACTGTTCCAGCACGCCCACTCCCCTGGTGGGCAGCTGAGATAAACCGTCTGCCAAGTGGGGAAGGAGGTGCTGGGTTGGCTCTCCGTGTCTGGAAAGCCCCTCGCCTGCGACCTCTGGACTAACACTGATCCTAAGAACCAGTGCTCTCCTCCCTCCCCGTACCCCCACTGAAATACAGTGGTGTTTTTCCAGTCTTATGGAAAGCACTAGACATGGTTTAAGACACCACATCCAGGTAGATCGTGGCCTCCAGGCCCCTCCTGTGTGGACACTCTGGAGGCCTCGGTCTGGGACAAGCAGGGGATTTTGCTCCCTTTGTGGGGTGACTCTGGGTAAGTGGCTTGGCCTCTCTGAGCCCAGGCTTCCTCTCGTGGGAACTGAGGATAAGAACTATGTCCGCATCTCGAGGTGGTTGTGTGGACTAGAGGCCGAGTCACCAGGAGCCCCAGCACAGGGTCCAGGTGCTCCCGAGGAGGCAGTAGAGGCTCCCAGGCGAGGCTGACCTCTGGGAGCAGCTGCCCCCAGGCCTGATGCTTGGTCTGGAGCTGTAGGCTGGGACCCCCTTACCTCCTCCTGTCCTTTCATCCACACGGACTCTGCAGGCAAAATGGGAACTTTGGAAACAGGCTGGCAGGGATTGTATGGGACGGGGCCTCTCGCTTTTCTCTCAGGTGCCCTGTCCATCTCAACACTGCAGGCAGGAGACAGAAGGGAGTCACGGGGCCCTCCACACACTGGGGCAGGGGGGACACTTAGTCAAAATGGCCCTGTGCCACAGGAAGGCCAGAATCCCGTGAGGGGAAAACACCTTTCCCACCGCCGGCAGCTTCTGTCCAATGTCTCTGGCTAGCCATTGGTCTCTGACATGGCAAATACCAGATTTATTCCTTGTCATTCAAATGTTGTGAGCATGGTGAATGGGGGGGGGGGGGCTTTGGACAACAGCCAGGTGGCCTGGCGGCCCCCTGAGGCTGGATCTGTCACTAAACTGCGGTGAGACCTTGGGCACGTCCCCTGAACCTTGCCGAGTCTGTCTCTGCCACTGCAGAACGGCCTCACACCAGTCCTCTGGGCACCCGAGGGCGTTGACTCGATCGGGAAAGCCGGGAGAGCTCTCTGGGCCGCCAACCCTCGGTGAGATGCAAATACACAGAGGAATAAAATGCACACATCGGTGCGCCCATGAGCAGGAGTTATTCATAATTTTTTAATTAAATAGACTTCCTCCTGTTTGGACAGTTTGTTCTGAAACTATCTGGTGTGAATACAAAACGCAGCGCCCAGGAGTCTGCTCTGAGTTGGCAGCTGGGCCCTGCACCGGCCTGGTGTCTGTAGAAGGCAGAGTCCTGCACAGGGGGAGCCAGTCACTGCTGCAGGCCACCTGGCTCCCAGGTCCCCAGCTAGAAGGTGAGGGGGGCAGGGTTTGGGAGCCAGTCTCTAGTGGATGCTAAAGCCCTACTGTTTCTGTCGCCCACACTCCCTTCCTCACTGATGGACCCCAAGTACAGGAGGGATGGAGGGGGGGAAAGCCACTCAAGGTCCTGTTACCTCTGAGTACAAGACAGACGTTGAGATTTCCTCTCGGCAGCCTGTGACCCTTATGGGTGGTCTCCCTGGGAAAGCAATTATGTTTCTAATTCTTCTTTACCCTCCAAAGGGTGCTGGGCACGGTGAAGTGTGGCTGGGCAGATTCACTGAAGTCCCGCCGGGAGCAGGACCTCAGCGGGGCTCGGCCCTCGGCATCGGACAGCAAGGAACCCGGACTGTGGCCAGATGCACGTGTGGTAAATAACCTGGACCCAACCCGCCTGCCGACCGGGAGGCCTCCCTCCCTTCCTCCTCTTCAGTTTCTCACCCTACTCTGGATGGTGTGTGGTTTTCAAAGAAGGGGCTTTCTTTTTACTTCTCTAGGGTCTGATAGGAGCAGACCTGAGGCTTATCTTTGCACATGTGAAAGAAAATAAAAATGGAAAAAAATTTCTACTCCAACAGAACAGGCTGGGCTGACGTGAGCTCTGTGCCTGGTGGTCAAGGTGTCAGCACCAGCAAGACCCCGGTTCCGACCGAACGGCTCTCACGGGCGTGTCCCAGGGCGCCTGTGCGGCGGGAGTTCTGAAGCAGGACACCCCTGCGGTCTCCTTTTCTCTGTCTACTCCCACTCCAATCGGATACACTTTCACGATCTGATAAAAGCCATAGGTTGAGCTAGGATAAAGAGGTAGGGAGGCCCAAGGCGATTGTCAGAGTAGGGTTTGCAGTTTTGAAGAACTAGGAGTTCTAACTGTCCTGGTAAGCTGTTTGAAGAGCGGCTGTGTGTTCTCAGCCTCATTTTCTCTGTAACCCTGTTCTGCACGAGGGGCTCTTGTGAACTGCAGTCAGATCTCAAAACCCTTTTCTACCCTCTTCTGCAGTTTCCACCATTAACGCAGTACTCGTGTGTGTGTCTAGTCGACTTTGTAAATAGGTTGTGTAAGGGGGAGGGCGGCAAGGCTTCTCCAGCCCGGTGGCTTCTGAAAGAAAGGAGTGGTGTCTCTGGAGGGGCCGCGCCGTCCCTCCCAGCCCTGCTCACCTGCAGAACCTCCATCAGAACAACACCAGGGGCTCAGCTGGACTCTGGGTCACCTCAGGGTGAGTTAGACAAAGGGCCAGTGAGAGGGTAGCAATCTATTCCTGAAGTTCCAGTTTCGAGGCTAGTGTTGTAGATGGGGAGGGTAAAAATGATCCTTCCATTTCCCCTCCAGTAAGGACACGTCTCCCTGCTTCCTCTCCTCCCTCTGGCCTGTGTGAGGGAACAGAAACGCAGGGTTCTGTAACGTGGATCTTCCGGCCTCACCTGCGTGCTCATAAGCACCCACCCGTGCAGCTACCGAGGATCAGGGTCAGGTGTTTAAAGCGGGGCGAGCAGTCACCTGCTCCCGGGGGAAGAGCACCTCACAGCCGAGTTCTTGGTCCACAGCGAGTGGTTCTCTAGAGTGTCCTAGAGGAAGCTGGCAACACGGGCGAACGAATCTGACAGGATGGGCTGAGCTCAGCTCTGTCCAAGGAGCATCAGAGAGAGATGCAGCAGGGTGGAGCACAGAACACAGTCTTTTCTTCCTTTCCTCCCTTCTTTCTTCGGTCTACCGAACACTGGCCTGAGATACCGGGCCAGGCGCTCTTCCTGCTCGCTCAGGCGGGTTTGCCGAGACACCCGTCTAGAAGCCATGCCTGCACTCTCGAGTCTGCTGGGGGTGAGCCCTGCTAGAGATACATGTCCCCTCCCCTCCCCTCCCCTCCCCGGAGTCTGAAATGCACCCCTCATCTCACCGTAGACTGGAAAGTTTTAAATCATGTCAACCAGATAATGCTTGCTTTATGTGAGAATTATTTCAGCAGAATGGATACAAATTTCCAAAAAGTCTTCATATCTCTGTATTCTATATTAAAAGTGATAAAGTCATGTTTTGGGGCGTATTCAAGTAGCTGACAAGTAATTATTTAATAACAGTACATCGAGTGCGTTGTAATTATTCTCGCCGTAGTCAGGGAATAGCATCCAATGGAAATTTCCTACCAACCTGCTGTATCCAAAGTTTTGTAAAAAGTTGTAGAAGTTGTTGATCTTTTTGATTTTATATCCAAAAAGTCTCTTTTTATAAATATTATTTATTATACAATGTATATACCTTTGAGTTAACTAAGATTATATATTATATAAATATATATATATTTGGAGAAACTATATTTCATCATGCAGTTTTTTTCTGTTAAGTCATTAAAGAGAAGGTAAAAAACTTAAAAAATGGATACATTGTACAGTGTGTGGAGTTTCCGGATTAACGCGCAGGAGGCCAAGAATATCAGGATCTGAATGTGGTAGCTTCAACTTTCACGCTTCAATTAGTGGCCCAAACTCAGTTCATTTCCTCTGTTCGCTAAGCAAGATCATCTGAGACATCATGGCCATAGGTCTGATCTACTCCAGGACTTTCTTACAGGCTTACTTTTTTCTAAAACAACTTCTAACAAAACAAAGCATTTCTAGTTTTAAAAATAAGCAATTTGGGCAGTAACTGATTTCACAGACTCCAGCAGTCCCAGCGCACAAATTAACGTCACAGACACTCAGAGACGTGGCTCAAGGCCAGCAGACCACAGTGTTGGCCACTGACTTAGTCTCTTACTACCCTTGTTTTCAACTCCGTGTACTGGGAACACAGGATTCGCTCTACTAAAAATGAACCTGACTACAGTGGCTCTGCCCCACTGGCTCTGCCCCACTAGCTCTGCTTAAGAGCTAAGTATAGAAGGGTAGGCGGGTCAGGAGAGGTGGCGCACCCAGAGCTCTGGGCAGAAAGGACCCACCAGTGGGCATGCTCTAGATTCTAGCAAAAGGCATGCTCTCCTCAAAATGCAGTTTCCAAGGGACTCACCTGAAGCTCACAAGTAACACTTTCTCAACAATGAGATGCTGCAACTTGGTTTTATGACGAGAGACATAAGATGTCTTCAGACCTACCCATACAATGCCATTTTCAGTTTACTTGGCACGGTAAAAATGTTTTTCTTTCCTTCTCCTGATTTCCCTTTATTAGGGACAAATCTTATTTCTTTAATTTCACAAAAAGGTAACAGAACAATAACTCGGTCTGCCTGGTGCGGTGGAGACGGGCTGCCAGCGCTCCCTGCAGACCTCTGACCTCAGACTGGGAAAGGCTCCTAGAAATTCACCAGCTTCACTCTGCCCACAGTGTGTCTTTAGTTAGTCCCCGAAGAGCTTAAACCACAGAAATGGCTCTGTTGGCTGTGCAAGGAGTCGGACACGGAGAGGACGAGACTCGGCTGCACGTCCTGCCCGCAGTGCTGCTGCGCTGTGAGTCTGGCTTTTATGTCAGGCTAACGCGCATCCACCCCAGCGCTCTGGGTGCTTCCTTTTTTTACCCTATGAGACTGCCAAGCATTCAAACAGTCCCTACTCATACTTACCAAGGCCATTTATGATCCTCTCTCTGAGTAATCACATTCTATGATTAAAGAGAGTATAGTTTATAGCAGTGCTTGAACACTTAGCTCTCGGTAAGCATAAATACTAATAAACATCTAAAAACACGAGGAAGTTTAAAAAAAATCCAAAAGGAAGAAAAGAGACACTATGATAAGAAGATATTAACCAAACCAGTATTATTTCAGGAGAGAAGGGGGTGTGTGGGGGAGAGTGTTCAAGGGTGAGAGGCTGGGGTACGAATAAAGGCAGAACGAAGGGTCAGGAGAAAGCGGGGGAAAAGCAAGGGGAGAGGTGAGGGAGGGGGCTATCCTAGGTGTCTCCGAGGTGATTGCCAATGAGCCGGCGGGGCACCCGTGCCGGCCTTGGTCCGTAGACATGTACGTGCACGGCTGACGCACACGCACCCAAGTGAAGAAGTTCTTTCAGCAAAACGATAGCCACTACACTGCCATCGTTTCTCCTGGCTTAACAGAGAACTTTCTAGAAGGCACAGAATGATCTACCCATTAGTTTTAAACTCCCAAAGCAGTGAGACAAAGGCAATTGTGTGGAGGCTGTCCTGGGAAATTTTCAAATGTGAGTCCTTTCAACTTGTCTTTCCCACTTGGGGACGTGTGGGTCACAGCGCCACCTCCGTCCGCATCTCAGCGCCGCGGTATACACACACACGCCCCGTGGGCTCGCGCCAGCCCGGGCCTCAGCACTACTTGCTGGCTGATGAGAAACTTTAGGGCATCACCGTGCAGGGACTTCTGAAATCACATGCTTTTTTGAACTCTGTTACACACTCTTCCCCGTCCCTTCTCTGAAAAGGCACATGGACCGAGTTGCCGGGCAAGGAGAAGGAAATCTTGCGTTCCCCTTCTGTGTCTGGGCTGGGGTGGCTGGTCACAGCTGACTCCATGCCCCCTCATCTGTTTACCAAGGTCTGGTTATGATACACACTTGGATCTACTGCATGACTTGTTGCTGAGATTTCAAGGGGAGGCTGTTCACTGTAATTTTTAGGATATGGAAAAACAGCCTTAAATAGCGAAACACATCTCAGATTTTAACTGCCCTTACCCAGTTTTTTGTGTTACAGTTTAAAAAGTTCCAGTGAAGATGTACAAATTTAAAAAGTATAAAGTTAAAAGCTCCTTTTTTTGAGACTTTAATGATATCTTCTGGAAAAAAAAAATTAAGCCCTGGCCGGCTAGTTCAGTTTGTTGGAACCTCGTCCTGATACACCAAGATTGCAGTTTTGATCCCCGGTCAGGGCGTGTTCAGGAAGCAACAATGAATGCACAAATAAGTGGAAAAACAAATCATCATTTCTCTCTTTCTCCCTCCTTTCCTCTCTCTCTGTAAAATCAATACATATAATTAAAAAAAAAAAAAAAGCCTGTAGCCAGGTAGCTCAGTTGATTAGAGCGTGGTCCTGATATGCCAAGGTTAGGGGTTCAACCCCCAGTCAGGGCCTATACAAGAATCAACCAATGAATGCATAAATTAAGTGATACAACAAATCAATGTTTCTTTCTTGAGTCAATAAATTAATTTTTTTTAAATAAGAAAAAATAGCCTGTTAACAGGCCATCCATAGATGAAGGGAGTAAGGCAGCAGCTGGCAGGAGCCTCCTTGCTCTGTCAGCGGGGCCAGGCTGTAACCTCGCACATGCTCTGCCCAGCATGGACTCTGAGAGCACTCAGAGAGCCCTGCACCTTTTCAAGGCTGTGCAGGGACCAGGGTGGCCTCGGTCCTCTTTCCAGGAGGGTGTGGGCAGCTCCTGGGGGCGACCCTGCTCTCCGGGAGACTGCAGTTCTCTTCCCACAGACCCTTGCTGACTTTCCGGGCTGCCTTTAGTCCTAACCGGGGCCAACCCGAAGGCTCAGAGTTTAGGCTAAGAGTTCTGGTAGCACAGAAACATGCAAAAAAGGATAAAGGATACCCAAACAAACCGAGTGAAGAAATCTCATTGAGAGTGTCTGAGCCCCTGGTTCGTGCATTCAGAGGAGGAAGTGATTCTGCTTGAGAAACAATTTTCCTTTCTGGTTTAACCCAATAATGGCTTTGGTACACTTCAGTTTTTTATTAGGTAAAATGAGTAAAATAAGTATAAAGATTCTTGTGCATTAACCTTTCAAAATGTTACTGATCTGTGTTTCTTTTTAAGTAACTATACTCAAAAAAGTTAGAATCAGAGACTTTTAAAGAAAGAGCATCCACCTCCTCAGGTCAGTTACAACACAACCTCCAGAGGGCCTTGCCCGGGCCCCTCCTTCATACGTTCGCATCCTTATACACATTGTTTTGTATAAAACAGTGGTCTACAGAACGTTTTCAAGTATAGATACTCTTTATTGCATTCCTTCATTTGCATTAAACAATATAATATTTATATTTTTCAATATAGTTTTGGACGAAACACAAAGACATTAATTAACCTCACTGAATAGGAGACATAAGTTAATACAATGTGTGCCACTTTCACGGGAAGAGAAAAGAGGCGAGGAGATCTAAACCAGACAAGGAAATCCAGGGCGCCGGTCACCAGGAATCACAGAATTTCACAATAGAACCCACTTTTTGAAAAGCCACAAAACGAGCTAGCGATGAAAAGCTGAAACAAAGCAGGTGTGACATACAAGCCCACCACAGACAGGCAGGTAGCAGCAGCTGGAGATAGCGTGCCCTCTACCACAGGGACAGATGACAGAGCTACGCTCAGTGCCACTGTGGCAACAGGCTCCCTGGGTGGCGTCAAGCACATTCAGATGGCTTCTGATGGCTTGTCCTCACATTTCAAGCAGCTATGGGGACAGAGTGGCATGCTCCATAGGTCTCATGACCAAATACGATGCCCTATTTAAATTCCTTCTAACTCAGTTATAAGACAAAACCTTTGGAAGACGCGTTAGAGGGTAAAGGAAGTGTGTTACGTGGATTGGAATGGCCAGTAGGGACTGAGGGGAGAGCACTAGAAAGTGGTTTACTTAATTGTTTTAGATGCTGGGTAGTACGGATAATTTAAAATGAAGGATACATTCTAAGTAAATCATTAACTTTAGGAAAAAAGAAAACTGGTGATTTAATAAGCCTTTAATATTATACTAAGGAACTGACCCACTTAGAGTTGGACACTAATTAGTACTGAGAGGTTTATTAATTACTTTCTTTAACAACTCCTTTCTTTTTAGGGGTGTACACAAAATCTTTCACAAGTTTTTAACAACAACTACCAGGCAGAAATGACTCGCATACCTCTTACCACAGAGGAAATCAGTTACATTAAGGGGATGTCACAGCCAACACAGTGATAATCTGACTTTCTGCTGAGAAAGATCTCCTGGTTACAGCTTGGAAACATCTCCGAAAATAGAGAGCAGCATCTTAGAAAGCCAAAGGCCTGTTTCTTCAGGCAAAGATAACCACCAGCTTTCTGGGAGGACTTGAACCAAATGCCCGCGTACCTTCAGCGTTAGCACACGGAAGCTGTAAGATCATCCCTTGGAGCCCTTTCCTCTATTCACTGTTCCCGGTGTACCTGTCCACAGGCTTCCTTCTGACAGGCCAACCGTCGTCTTGCAAAATCATTACATTTATTGAGGGTTTTTGGTTGGGGTGGGGGTCGTAGAGAGCTTAGAATGTGTAGTGTTCACAAGTACAGTAT